TAGATTAATTGCTAGAATACACTTCTCTATCATGAATACTGAGGCATCAAACATTCTCTTTATGGACGACCACATAATGGCAAATGCTTACATGACCCACGGCAATCTGTATAATCCTTTCGAAATCCAGGTTTACACCGACGCCCGGCCAAAGGTCAACTATGCCTCGCTCCTACTCCCGTTCTCCTACGGGACTTGGGCACTATTCATCTTTACCGTAATTGCAGCAAGCCTACTGTTAAATGCGAAGATTGGAAAAGTAGGAAAATCAGATTTTCGCCCCACTCAAAGCCTTTGGTTAGCCCTAACAGCGCTTTTAGAACAATCCAACGACTTTTGGGGCAAGTGCAAAAATTGGCACTTAGCCCTGGCATGGCTTTTCGGCGGGAAGTTATTGATCCTATTCTACACAGAAGATATTTACTCCTACCTGACATCAAGCCCCCTACCAGAAACACCCTCAACTATTGAGGGGATTGCGGACTCAGAACTTTTCATCTTCACGATAACATCCCTTCCTAAGTGGGGAGATTTCGTAGAACTAGACGCCTCACAGTCGGAGAGATCCATCCTGTATTTGATTGTAGCAGAGAGCCAAGAACTCGCGATGGGCCGACACCTTCAAAAGATTTATAATTCTACCCGCCATTTCAGAATAAGGCTTAAAGAATACTGTCACTGCATTGAGTTTCCCATCGCCAAAAATATATCAAACTTGATTTCCCTCCGGAACCCTCAAAGTCCGAAGAATGACGGCGTAACTGGCAGCACGTTTGTTCTTATCGATGATCAAAATCTACTAAACAGATTTTCCATGTTTTTGACCTTTTACAAAGTGTTTGTTCCCGTAAAAGGCGCAAAGATTGAGCTTGGTAAGACGATCGAGAGCTGGGTGTTTGGAAGAAACTTCTTCTCGGACGTGTTTTCTTCAGGGCTGTCGAGGTTGGTTGAAGGAGGGTTTTATTATCGGTGGAGAAAGCATAGAGATATTCTGACAACGATTAATTTAGTTAAATCTGCATTTATCGAGGAGAACCAAACCATCCCGAGCAACCTGTTCCAACAACTTTTCTTAGGACGGGGTCAAGTATTGGAACAGCAACCGGAAGCCACCACATTGGAAAACGTCTCGATTCCCTTCATAATTATGGGGGTTATGCTGCTTCTGGCGACAGGTTTGTGGTTAGGAGAACTTGTGAAGGAATCCAATCTGTTGGTTTTTAGTTGGCTGGGAAATAATTTCCAAAATGTTGTATATCCTTATATACCATAATACGACTAAATGAATAATAAATAACTACTTAAATAATGAACAATTAAGACGATTGTAATTTTATTTACAAAAATTAGTACATCTGTAATATTTTTAAATGCAGCATAAAATAAATAAACTGTGCCAGAACGGGACTTGGCTACTTTACGACCTCTGCGATCGTCCATATATTACGTTATCAAGAAATCGTGAAAAAACCACCCACCCGCTCCAAAATCGTTAATCGTCATCATAGCTCAAAACCACTCACCCACCCCTAATGATGAAGTCAACATCTCAAATATAAAAATGGTCAATCAATATTACCAAGGTAATAATTGGTCAAAATTTTTTAATGGTGGTGAAATACTACTGATATACTAATGGCTTACATTATAGTACATATATTAACCCTTTAGGGGAGTAATAATTTTAATTTTTACTTGCGCTTCGAATGGTTAACATTTAATGTCATTAGAAACGTTATCATGGGGTGGTAATAAATAAATATCTGTTTCCTACGGGGCTAGTTTAATTACAGGGTGTTAATAAAGTCCGATCCCATTTTTCCTGTAAAAAAGTGAAGGCTAGTATAAAAAAAAACTACCCGTGATACTTACAAAAAATGTTCGACATATTTACCTTAGTATTTGGTCTTGTTACCATTTACTTTAACCATGCCCTCAACTCTTTGTTTAAGGCTCTGTGCTAATTTTTCCAATGTGCCTCTGGAAATCGAATTCCATACATCTTGAACTTTTTTTTACTAGCTCTTCCCTCGTCCGGGGTTGTGGCTCTTTGTATACATTTTCCTTAAGTATGGACCACTGGTTCTTCAGGGGATTCAAATCTGGGCCGTTAGCGGCCCACACCCCCTTGCTCCAGACCGTTGAAACTTGCGTCTTGATGAGACTCAAACTCGCTTTTGCTGTATGGGCTATAGCACCATCCTGCATGAAAACTATTTTTCTTTCATTCGGAAATATTTCCTTGTTCCCCATGCTATCGAAATAGATAGGTAATATTTTTTCCATATAATGCTTTGCATTGACTGATTGGCCTTTTGGTATGATATGTAGAGGGGTCACGCAACGTGCACAAAATCCACCCGCTACCATAACTTTAAGCCCGAATTTTGGGATCGCTCTTGATGGTACATCCGATTTGTTTTCTGTCCTGTAACGAACATTTTGTTGGTTCAATTTTGGATATAGTTCAATAATAGATTCGTCAGTCCAAAGGATGTGACTGCGCAATTCTTCACCAAGTCTTTTTTCACTCAAATGGGCACTTTTCTGAAGGAGTTCTTCAAATTTCAGACGGTCATCGATATATTTTTGTGACATGAGAGGTTTTTTTGGTTAGTTTGTAAGCTGTGTGACCCCACTTCGTAGTTTTCACAAATTTTTGCACGGTCACACAGTTAATTTGCTTCTTCTTCTCTTTATAGCGTTTTGAGTCATTTAACTCCCTTGCTCAATTACGTAATGAACTACCGGTTTTCTTGCAAAGTCTGTTTTTAATCATTCTTTTTGTGGTAGGTGACACCTTTCTGGGTCGCCCTGGTCGCTTTTTGTCGTGGACAAAATTTTTATTCTTCCATTTCCAAACAGTTCTGCGGCTGCAGCCCAATTTTTGCACAATTTCTGTAGGTTTAAGCCCCTGCTGATGCAATGTTTGTATCTCAACTCTAAGATGCTCATGACTTACACGTTTAGTTGTTCCTCCCATGGTAAAAATTTGAAATAAATAACTTCACTGGTTCAAAAGTTCCAGCTGAATTTGTAACAACCACGCTCCAAAAAATGCATGGGATCGGACTTTATTAACACCCTTTAGTTATACTCCTCTCTCATGGAGCTTGGTTTTAGAAATTTGCAAATAAAGAACGGTACAGACTTCGTACCTAGTACTCGCAAAAGAACTGTTACAAGATTTCTCAGGTAAATTAAGCAGACTAAACAATTTTTTAGAAAGTTGTACTATTTTTTATTGAAATCCCCATGCAATTGTCTATCAGAAAGCATGTTTCGAAGTTTTTTGTAACCCATGGTGACAAAGTGATAGCCCGCGAAAAACAACATGTTGAAATTTTTCAGCATCATTTTGGTAAGCCAAAAAATTCATCATTTTATAATTGCTCAATAAAAATCGACACTGATCGCAAGCTGGTCGACCGCACCATAAAATGATCCATTGACATTGTCAGTGCTAATTAGTGAAACAAAAGTTGAAGGGAACGGTCAAAAGGGTCACAAAAAATCATGGAGGCGTAGAAAACCTGAATTCCTCCGAATTCACGCCGGACCCTAAGAAAAATTTCCCTGCAAATGACCAAGTTAAGTAAAACAATGTCCCGGTCTCTTAAACTAAGCATTGGACTTATGTCTTTAAGATGTGAAGAGAAACACTTGCTAACTTCACGCCAACTAAAAATAGATCCCTCAGAAGCCGGGCGCTGATCATGCGGTACGCGCTGGGAAAATGAAAACAAACATTTTTCAAAGATGATCAAACTTTCACAATTGAGGCCATATAAAATAAACCAGATGACCGTGTCAACACCCCACCGGTCCATATTGTTCACACAAATTTCAAAAATATACATCAGACCAACCATTCTGATTCTGTGATTTTTTTAATGGGCATAAGTTGAATTTGGTCGAAAAAGTGATTTTTCTTCCTCCGAGGGTGAAATTTCGTGTTAAAAAACAGTTAAAAAACAGTCAGCAAATCTTGAAACCCCTGAACCACTCTCAATTCGATAATAGCAATTAGACATTCAAGGAATGCTCTGGTCCTACTCATGAGACCAAAATAGTAAATGGGTGGTTGAAATCCAAAATTCCTGACGCCATTTCGTATCATGGATAAAATTCACTGGTGCCGAACGTCAACCTATGGAATACGATATATGGTCCAAGCTGAAGCTAGATACACGTGCTAAGCTCAACAAAAGTTTGGAGTCCGAAAAAAAATCTATTGTCTAGAGATGACACCAGTATCCCTTGGAACGCATGTGTACCGCGAACGCGAAGTTGACACCAAGACTCCGGGCTCGTGTCGCCTTACGAAGTTGAAATTTAAAAAAGGGAATAGAGAGGGTATTCATTATTTCTTCGTATCGTAAAATAACTTACGAAGCTTACGAGATTTTGTAAGCGTCGTAAGATTTTGTCATCGAAAATCACGTTACTACGCTTACGATTTTTACTAAACTTGACCCCTTGTTTTTTCTTCGTAAACTATTTTACGATACGATGGATACGAAGAAATAATGAATACCCTCAGTATTTCTTATACCGAATTTCACTGGCTTTTAAGTGATATAATTATTTTTTCAAAATTTAACAAACTGGATTCACTACAATGAGTTTTTCTTGTAACAGTTCTTTTGCGAGTACCAGGTATAGCCCGCCCAAGGCATTATTAAGGTATTTTTTACGGTGTAGAGGAATTTTTTTACATGCATGCATATGTACGTGAATTGGTCCCTGTATGTTGTTATTACTCCATTGTACTACTCATCTACCAGACGCGTGACTAAAGATCACGTAGGCAATGACGAAAGTGGAGGTCATTGTTGTTGTGATTATTGTTACTTATAAGATTTTCATAAATGACGTAGCTGCTACATATACCTTAGTTGGTTGTGAAGGAAATGCACCCAGCGCAATTCACCACTTGAAACCGGCTTTTCAGTTTATGCATCTCTACCTAAGCTGCACGTAGTCAACAGTCTACTTTTGTATAAAATGTAAACTCCGCAATATTCTTGGGCTCAGTTTCATTCTGAATTTCAGTTTTAATCGTGGCATTTTTCAAGAAACACAAATTCATCATGTCTCTCGTAAAATTATTGTTCCTCTCATCGATCGTTTTGGCGTCCTCTACTCACATTCCTCAACCATATCGCCAGGTAAATATTTAATTAACCTCGTTTAGACAAAATATGTCATATCACGTATTTTTAAAAAATCCAGACTTCTCACAATTTCTAAAAATACGCCTACTTCTTTGGTATATTGTGGAAAACTCGATGGTGAAAAGTTGTCCTTTTTGGATATTTTTCTTCACAAATTTTGAAATTTTCTCTATACCGATCAATGTTAAAAAATGGATTTTTCGTGATTTTTTGCGAAAAACTCAAGACTTAAAAACTGGTTGAAATAAATATTGGTGTTTTATAGGAAATCATGAAAATTTAATTGGTTGCTACCAGATGTAGTTATGAATTCAATATCGTACTCAAGAGAATTTTTGGTAGGAATGAGGTTACATGAAAAATTCTTAATATATTTTCCTCCTAAAATCTACAGGTGTCCAAATCATCCCTTTCCTCCATTCCAACATGGACCACGCAAATCCCCACTTTCCCCTACATTCTCGACCAAATTTATCAAAAATACGAGTCCGTCCTAGACCTCACAAGTATGAAATCCCTCTCGAAAGATGTCCGTCGTACAGTTGCCTCCCATCTCCTCGGTCCCGTGGGAATGACCCAATTAACCATTCACCTCCACGAGCGACTTATCTCCCCCGGAATAATGCGGACAGATATTTATTCCTTCCTAAAAAATGAAGAAGATCTCACCGCTTTCAAGTCCCAAATCGAAGACATAATCTCATCCCTCAAACAATTCCAAGCTTTTCCACCAGATAATGATTCAGAAACTGCATCCTCCGCCGAGCTACAAACCCTCCTCGACATTTATACCAGGAAAGGGTCAATTTTCCAAAAATACCCGTTGGAATCCGTCTCAATCTTTAATCCACTCAGTCATTTTATGGTAGCAGCGTCCAATTTGGAACAGGATCGATTCGCTCATAAAAAATTACTCTGTGGTGTTCGCGCAGCGTGGGATACGTATGAAAAACTCGGGGTGAAAGATAGACTTCGAAGAGTACAAGTATTCGGCTGGGACCGTCATTTCATTAGTGGACATCACGATCTCAATATTGATCACGAACTTCCCAGCCATGCCCACCAGGCCGGACTCAACTGCACAATAGCTTCATGTCCTCAAAACATCCAGTATAGAAACACATCTGGCGACATATTCCTAGTAGAAAGTCCAAAGTACACCGAGCAAGGGTACGGAAAGAGGAGAAGGAGTGACACACTCGTCGAAATATTCCATGCCAGGGAAAATTGCAGTTTCAAGGAAAGTGAACACTTTACAAATTATCTAGATCAAACAAAACCCTCCCATCAAGGCTTCCTCTGCATTTTGGATGGCACAGAAAAATACGTGACTCATGAAAAAGATGGGGATTACAAATATTCACAAATTTTAAAGACCTACATGCAAACCCTGAGACACGGGGTGGAGAAGGATTTTAGAAAAATGGTAAATTCTTTGCATCCTATAAAATCTCATTTGGCCGATTGTCACCTATCTCCTGCTGGAAGTGTGGAGGTCACCGTGGTCCGCGCAGAGCTTACGTTGGACAAGGGGGCATATGATAAGAAAAGTGGTATTTATGATGAAGAATCACACGTCCTTCCGGATCCTTACGTGAAGATTTTCGTGGATGAGGTCGAGGTTGGGAGGACGAGTGTGAAGAATAATACACTCACCCCGTTGTGGATGGAGACATTTAGAGTTGATAAGGTTTACTCTTGGAGTGATGTCAGGGTCGAGGTTTTTGATCAAGATTTGGGAGAAGGGGATAAAGATGATTCTTTGGGTGGGGTAGATTTAGAATTAGTTAATGTCGTGGCTGGATTAAGGGATGACTTTTTCAGCAATAAGGCAGACATTGGGTTTGGTACGATTACTGTGGGGGTTTTGTATAGGCCGATAAGGATTTAATTGTGTCAAATGTGTTCAAGGTTATTTTTTGTTATATTTTATTATTTATTTAATATAAAAGGAATAAAAGGCTTATAAATATTATTTAAATACGTGACAAACATTGCTGTCTTTGCAGATATATTTATGCATATAATTTACAAATTCATTCATTTACTCATCTCCATATGGCAATAAATTAAATTAAGATGCATGCAATGCTCTTTTTATTGGTGACAGTTTCTACCTTACTTTTTCTACATACATACGTAGGTGCTTGACTATTGATTTTCAAAAGGTATGTTCCCCACTGTTTCTGGCCAAACTTTTAATGAAATTACAACCAAATCAAATACATTTAGGAGGCTGTCATTTTTTCAGTTCTGCAGGTTAACATTAACACTAGCAATAAATCAGCAAACTTTACCTCGAAAATACTCAAAAATCTACGATTTGATGTTTCATTATTATCCGAATATCTATTCCCGCTGCTGTCAATATTATATTTACTATTGACTATTGTCATAATATGTTTTCATCGTAAATTTTAAGCATGCGATCATAAATCTTCAATACGGGTTGCCCATCCAGCATTAAAAATTAAATCACACTACGATATTTAATTTGCAAATCTGACATTTTTTCCGTCGAGGTAACATTTTTTTCCCTGGCGTATTTTTGGGGTATGTAATGTATGTATGTAGGCATTTGTCAATGGTTTATTTACGTCTGTGTGTATTAAGAAACTGACTTGATTTATGCATGTAAATTGAAACATGTTATTTGGTGAGAAATACCGTCATACATACCTATCAAGTGATTAGCAGGTTTAGTAAAAAAAACTGGGTTTGTGATACATATTTACGCACACTCACCCTCAGTATACGAGGTTTTAGCATGATCCAAATAACCTGGTTTCGTAGAAAAAGTTCGAAAAACATAAGTCCGCCGTCTGAATATTTATGTATATCGCACGGACGCTTTAGACCCAACAGACTGGCGCGACACAAATTTCGAATCAATTAAATAGACATGACTCGGTCCCTGCGTATCAGTAGAATCACTTTGAAAACAAGTTTTTTTATTAATTTTTTTCAAAATCCAGAAATAGCTTGCAAATAATAGCTTACAGATAATTTCAAATTTTAAAATTTTGTATAAACGTCGTTTTATAGTTTCATGGAGTCGTTGGAAACAAACATGATGCTTAATTTTTTGAACCGAGTTAAACTTGGAAAATGTATAGCTCTCTGAAGTATCCTGATTATGGCTGAGCGTTATTTTAAAATTAAGAGACCTATTCATCTATCACGACCTTGGTTTCCTTGGTCGCCCTCTTTTATGCATTTTCACATGTCGCGACAGAAGATATTGATATGGAAATTCTCGCCCACAAGTCGGACATTTATGATCTGGTGGGTGATCCAATCTCACGTGGTTGTCGAGTCCGTCATGATCCGTAAATCTAATCGCGCATGGGACACACTTAAAGTAGTCAACATCATGACTGCGGCTCACATGTTGGTCAAGCTCCGTTTTCTCTACGAATTTTTTATTACACAAGCGGCACGGGAGAACCGTCAATTTATGGACTCTTGAACGGTGTCTGCGAAATTTAAAAATGTCTATAAACGATTAGTTTGAACTACTTTCAAAAATTACTTACAATGCGATGACGCCAGCGGTCTCGCTCCGATTTTGACGAAACGACGATAATTATGTAGCCTTATATAAACAATTAGACACGTGTTTCAGGATTTTTCATAATGCTCCGGTTAAACGAAATTATGACGAAATCCGTGAGCGAGAATTCCCATTTTCACCGTGACATTTTTCTCGCGAGGGAGAAAAATACAGATTCTCCATTACGGAGTCCATCATAATTTCGTTTAAACTTAAAATTGGTGGGCACGAAGTGATTTTCTACGATTTTGGTTTGTTGCATTTTTGAAAATTTTCAGAAATTTTCAGAAATTTTCAAAAATTTTCAAAATTTTCAGAAATTTTTGGAAATTTTCAAAAAATTTCAAAATTTCAAAATTTGTACAAGCAACATAAAATCGGAAAAACCACTTCATGCCCACGCATTTTAAGGTTAAACGAAATTATGATGGACTCCGTAATGGAGAATCTGTATTTTTCTCCCTCGCGAGAAAAATGTCACGGTGAAAATGGGAATTCTCGCTCACGGATTTCGTCATAATTTCGTTTAACCGGAGCATTATGAAAAATCCTGAAACACGTGTCTAATTGTTTATATAAGGCTACATAATTATCGTCGTTTCGTCAAAATCGGAGCGAGACCGCTGGCGTCATCGCATTGTTAGTAGCAAGAAACAAATACCCAATCAATTCACTCCTTTGTCTGAAGCCTTTACCACACGCAGTACAGCGATGGAGATCCCCTATTTCTGCTTCTGGGGGTAGCGTAGTGGCACAAACGAAGCCCTCAGATTTTCCATCACCTGGCTCCGATCCACTCGATGACTCAGCTTCCGAATCAGTTCCTGTTACTCGATTCCTGTTTAGTGAAGATCCTTCGTTGGACCCAGTCTGTTCGGTATTTTTAGGGGGACCTCCTAAAAATATCTATCTATTAATAATTTCAAAAATCAGATTACATTTTTAAAACCTGATTTTACTTAATCAGGTCTTACAAAACTTTATCTTACTAGGTATACTATTTAGGTGGATGGAGAGTTCAGATATCCCACTATATGCAAATATTGCACACTTTATCGGTGTGAAATAATATGCAAAAATTTCCGTGTTAAAATCACTTTTGAAAAAGTAATAACGATTTTAGTGACGCAAGTCTAGGAATTTTCACAATGCTTTAGCATAGGTGAAATTTTTGGTTTTCACCTCCTTTGCGGATTACACTCTCACTCCACCTCTGGCGAAGACATTATTTCGCTACGGTTGTAATCATTGTCCAAAAGAGCCGTCCAAAATGTCCAAAAAGCACCAAAAGTGTCCAAAATAGGAAATGGACCAAAATGTTGCAGTTTCTTTGTTTAATTTTTTTGAAAATCTAGGCAGATATATTTTATTCTCCTTGTTAAGTCGTTTTGAGGATTTATATAGTATTAATTGGAATTTGTTGCGTAAATATCTTCTCGTATGAGAAATTACGAAATTTTCCAAATATTGCTGTATTACAATTCAAAATTCTCAAAATTAATGGGAGATTGCATATCTTGGCAAATATTTGAAAATCATGGTGGTACCTAAATAAAATTTAACATTTTAGACCATTTTCTATTTTGGACACTTTTTGTTTATTTAGGACATTTTGGACAATGATTAGAACCTTTGCGAAACAATGTCACCGCCAGAGGTGGCGAGAGTGTAATCCGTAAAGGAGGTGAAAACCAAAAATTTCACCTATGCTAAAGCATTGTGAAAATTCCTAGACTTGCGTCGCTAAAATAGTCATTACTTTTTCAAAAGTGATTTTAACACGGAAATTTTTGCATATTGTTTCAAACTGATGCAGTGTGCAATATTTGCATATAGTGGCATATCTGAACCCTCCACCCACCTAAATAGTATACCTAGTTAGTATATTTACTTAGGATAAAATATGCATGAATTTTGTTACAAAGTCATTCATTATTTCAAGGAAGATAACAGTCTCATTAACTAATTATACATAATTTATCTTTCTTTATTTCTATTATTTAGCAAGAATGAGCTTAATAATCGTACCTGGGGAAAAATTGGTCCATTTTGCTAACTGTGACACCAACACTTCCAACGAGGTCACTCTTTCCAGCAATTCCTCCATATTTGTTAAAATTCGATTTAAATAAATTTATTTGTGCCGACTTGTTCTTGTCAATATTTACCCAGCTGAATGTAAATCCTCCAGCCACAAACACCGTTAAGTTTGAAGTTGGTCTCTTCTTTTTTTATTATTTTGACCGAAGTAAGCCGGTTAAGCCGAATTTTATCCGATAATTTACCAGTTACACTGCATGATGTAAAGGTCTATGTGATCCATTCGTCCCCATTTTAAAGTTAAATCATCCCCAATTCATGGCATTAATTTCCATCGTTGCCGGAGTCATACGACCCAGTAAATTTTTTTCAAGCTTACATTTTTGCTTGAAGTATTTGATTAAAATTCGTAAAATTTAATCTAACCCTCCACATTGTTCAAATAAATTGTAAAAATAAGAGGTACATCGTTTTTACTATAAATACCAATGTTAATACTTTCTCAATTTTTAGAAATTATATCAGAAATTATGAAACAATTTGGGGATTTTGCGAAATAACCTTCAAATCGGGTTTGGCTATATGCAACAACTTTAAATTAAAATAGTACAAAATGTCCAAACTACATAATTTTATTTCTATGATTTGAATTATGATTGTAAATATTTTAATTTGTGATTATTAACTATTATGAATTTCATCATTGATTTGCACCTTAGTATATTCTACGTAAGTACAGGATTTCTACTTTTTATAAACAATAGCCACAATCTCACATACTCATCATTGATTAGGTACATAAAATCCACTGCTTTAGATCTCAACTATGTATTTTAAATATGAAAAATACATATGTACCAACGTATAAAAATACACAACATAATAAAAAAATACATAACAAAATATGAAAAATACATTTTTTTCAGTCAAGAGTACATACATGGGTCACTTCTTCTCAACAAATACTAATTATTCTAATGTACAATAGACATGCAAACTAACCTTATACATAATTTCACTTCACTCAGATGGACTTTTACATAAACAACACTTATTTTAATTACAGATATTTCAAATAAATATTTCTCAGAAATCCCATAGCTACATCTACATACATGCAAAATGATAACCGTTTTTGTAAGCATGGTTTAACTAAATACATTCACAAAAAACCTGGCAAGGTCTAAACGCTCAGTTCGAAATTTTCGCAGGGTGTACATACCTGTACTTAAAATCTCTACTTCCTGAATTTGAATTTATCTAAATTTCGAAAAAAGTTATTAGAATACAAATGTTTCATATTTCATACAGAAGAAAGCGTAAGCATTGTAAATTGACGCAGGAGTAAAATATTTAAAATTATATGTACACTCTCAATACAAAGTTTTTTAGTCGCATATATGTATTGTAATAATTCTGAAATATTTAATATTCCAAGTTGTAAATCTTCTTAACTCACATGGTAAAGAATTATTTCCACCAGATCGCGTGTTACTGTTTTTACATATGTAACGAATCGGTTATAACGTATTACCAAATTATTAGGAGTATTAGGATATTAGGATACCTCAAAATGTTCTTTAACCTTCACTTATTTTTCCCTTCTCTATCATTTGTAACTTGCACAATAATCCCAAACCTTGCACCACTTCACCTCCCAAATTTTATTCTACCAATGACGCCCTGTCGACAGAAAATCATTTCAATGAAATTCCTCTCAGAGAATCTCCCCCACACGAACAACGTGCCCATAGAAGTAATCAAGATGCAAAGAACGCTCCCAAAAATAAAAGCCACTCCCACAAAGCTAAGTATGTCCAATATTTTCCAAGACAGAATGTGGAATTGTATCAATGTTGTCATCTATTACAATTACTATGACAAGAAACAAATTTCGGATTCACACTATTCCATCGATCTCGTTTCCAACTTTAGATCTCACGTCGGATATAAAGACGACCTCGTATCTGACCACATGTATCACTTTACCCGACCGACGCATGACCACTTCTCCATCCTCGTAATCCCGGACGTTCCTGAAGAAAAATTCTGGCAGCATTGGAAATCCTTTGTATCTCAAAGACCCCCAATCTACACCAATTTTAAAGTACTCTTCCTCCCAAATAAATTATGCATCCATGCAAAACTAAACACTGCCCCGAAACAGGTCCATTTTATCTGCAACAACAAATTTCAAAATCCTAACCTCATCTTCCCACCACTTTCCCCAGTCTTCGAACCCTGTTGGAAATTACGTGATAGAGGTTTCGAACAAAAGCACGCTATTAAAAATCTTCTCTCCTCAATACTTAACTTGCGCCCCAATTTAAGCCGCACATTCGACCCCTCTTGCCTACCCCAATATCAGGATGAAGACCACGATTACGTTCCCCAATTAACCGTCGGCCTTCAAGTAGGAATCATCGACAAAATCTGGAACCCTTTGAAGACCCTGCAATTCACGGAGGAATCCTTCAACTACATTTCCTGCTATCGGGAAGAAACCATCGTGTACTCCATGTACTTAACGCCGTTCGATGCAACGTCGTGGGCCATGGTGGTCACATCGCTGCTCGTGATTTCCCTGGTTGTTGATTTATTTGTCCGATTCTATCTCAAGATTACCTCCGCACCCTCTTCGTTGCTCTTCTTTCTCGGCTCAATTATCGAGGAGCCGTCCTCCCCGCCAAGTTCGGGCGTCGCAGCTAACCCACATTTCCGTCTTGCCTCGATCTGGTACCTCTTTGCGTCCGTAGTCTTGAGTAACGGGTATATAAGTTTCCTAATTACGAACCTAAACGCTCCCTTTCCTCCGAAAATATTTGACACAATTGAATCCCTCCATTGTGGACCTTACAAACAAAACGTCACCTTCGGAGGGATAAATGCGTTATACAAAAACTTCATTGGACGTTCTAGAGGTAACATATTTCAGCAGAATAACGCCACATTATTCCGCCGAGAGCACGAGCGATCTCCCTGTTTCTCCATCCTATCCAACAAAACGGAGCTGGGTCCCATGTTTCCCATGTCGTTTTACGAACTAGGCAACTACGTGAATATTTTCTACTCGAATAAAAAAATGGACGAGGTCAGGATGCAGTTTTCTTATCAGTTTTTCTCTCAAAAAATGAGATGGTATCCACGCAAGCTCTGGGGAGTGAAGGAAACTCTTAGGCCGGCAAAGCCTATCGTTCCCCACTACACTGAAATCAATGAATATGTTGAAGACGAAGTTGTGGCATGTACTAAATCCGTATTTTTCGCGGAAGGGGATCGCGTCGAACTACAACGACAGAAATTTGAAAGGTTGTACCCTCGAGTTAATTTTTACGTGGGGAAGGATCCCCTTCTCAAGAATGTGATCCACTTGATCTTGTACTCATCAATATATTCGAAATTCCCTCCGTTTCTACAATCTGTCAGTGAATCAGGGTTACTGCAACGCTTGTTGAATGACACGATCAAGGAAGAAGTTAGAAATGTAGTGAGCAATGTGAAGAAGATTAGGGCAAAGAATCCGCAAAGATATCGCACCAGGGAAAATAGCAAGGTCAAACCACAAAGTTTTGAAAGTAGTGTGGTAACAATTTTTATAATTTTGGGGCTACTTTTGTCAATTGCGATTGTATGTTTTCTTCTTGAGGTTGGACCAAGGAATTTAAAAAATCTGTATAAATTCCTATTACTAAAATCCCCCAGGTACTTAAAAAGAAAGCAGAGAAAAATTAAACCACAAGGTTCACAAGTTTAATTTATTCACCCCAAAAAATAAACGAACCAGGTAAAAAATTCAAAACGCCAGACCGGTTACTTCTGGGACATCGTAAAACAAACTAATAAAAAACCATTTCCGGTTGAAATCTACACAAATATGTACATATGACCCTATCGACATATTGAAACATGACGAACGGGAGGAACTTGTAGAAACGTAGGGTAGCAAAATTTGAAGATATGAATACCACCAACCCCACAAACATTAATGCAATCGTGCCTAATTCCTGGTAGCGGGCGACAGCTTGGTACGCTAATTGGAGGTGAATGTGAGTATTGACCAAGTACATTATTTTCCCCAGGTTATTCTTCGGGGAGAGGAAAATTCGTCTCGATTGGTCTAAAAGGATGGACAGGATGGTGTCCATGATTTTCAACCATGAAAGAAACAGTAGAATTACAAAAGAGAAAAGTGAACAAATTTCGAACACGTTGATGATCACGATGACAGCTCGGAGGGCGGAGAGGACGACCACGGCGGGAAAAGAGAGCCGTAAGAAGGTGGCGATATCCGTAAGAAAAGTATGCAGAGAGTCCACACCCAGGAACAAGTTGGAGGCTACGACGAGGAAGAAGTAGACCCAGAAGAGGCGAACTATCCCGATTAGCGTAATCTTTTCAAGATCAAAGGACTTCGTGGGACGAGAAGCTTCGAGGCGTCGGATCCCTAGAAGATAATGGAAAAATAAATGTCTTTTATCGTGGATTCAGAAAGCTGAAAATTGTTTCCTCAATTAATTTCGTCACATATGTGACCTATATTTAGATCCCTATTAACCTGGGCAAGTGAAATATCCCTGAGAACGAAGTTTGCAACCTGACTATTGCCAACGATAAAATAATAGGTAGGCAAACTAAATCACGGCCAATTTTTTCATTTTCACTACGATTTCAAAGCGATAAGCTAATTCAGCCCATTGTCTATTCATGTTTGTGTTGCTAAATTTCGAAATTTTGCAGCGTTATAAAAAATATGTTCGCGTAAAATTTTAAGTACATATATCCCGTCTTTAGGACGGGCTAATAGGCTAGTACATATATATTCAAAATGGTGGAAGGAAACGTTGAAAGGCAAAATTGCAACAATTTTGCCTCTCGCCTGGTTGCCACCGTTGTGCCAACTTCTGCTCAGAACCTCGGACCGCACCAAATTAAGTGGCAGCGCTATACCTTCGGTCGATTTCGACTCGCAACCTCGTTTTTCTTTAGGCCAAGCCCAACCAGGTTGAATCAATTGTGACGTCGCGGGAAATATGTACAAAGAAGTATGTAAATATGCACATACGCTCGAATTCTTAAACGAAAAGATTATGAAGGGAAAAAATATTGAACTACGTAACAAAAATTTATAACAAACACT